ATCCCAGTGGGTGCAGTAAGGAGTAGAGAGGACAGTCTGATCCCAGAGGGTGCAGTAAGCTGTAGAGAAGACGGTCTGATCCCAGGGGTTGCAGTTGGGTGTAGAGAGGACAGTCTGATCCCAGTGGGTGCGCAGGGGGCGACGCCAGCAGACTACATCGCTCCAGTGAGCTGGCGCCCCCTGCTGCCGCTACCGCTGCCAGTGGGTGGGACCTGCTCTTGAAGTTGGTATAAACGAGCAGGCAGCCGGAGGAAGCTTCCCGTTTGTGACTGACTGAGTGAGTGAAGCAAGCGGCTGCCAGCGATGTCTTCAGCCTGCGCGGATCTGTGCCGCTGTAAGAACGACAGGGGGCTGAGCAGTATCCTGTACAAGCTGCTGAAAAACGATGGCCAGGAGCTCCCCCTCGGGCAGCAGGAGCCTGCTGCTAGCTCGGGAGGTCTGGGACAGGGCTGTCCCTGTAAAACCAGGCGGAAAGTGGTGCTCAAGTGCCCTCACATCACCTGCACAGCAGCGTCGGTTGTCCTGGCCAAGACGCTGAGCTTTGTTAAGAACGTGCCGTGTTTCCAGGCGCTGCCCTGTGATGACCAGCTGAAGCTAGTCCGAAGGTGCTGGGCACCTCTGCTGGTCCTGGGACTAGCACAGGACAAAGTCGATTTCGAGACGGTGGAAACCTCAGAGCCCAGTATTTTGCACACGCTTTTAACCAACGGGCTCCCGAACATCCAGGAGGCGATGGGGCACCAGCGTTTACTGTCGGCGGCGGAGATCCAGACCATTCAGAGGTTCCTGATGAAGTGCTGGAGCCTGGACATTAGCCCCAAGGAGTATGCCTATTTGAAAGGGATTCTTCTGTTTAATCCAGGTGAGTGAATTTCACAGATACGTTCAGGCACGCTTCAGGTCAAATGTTTAATCACCCCAGTAAAAAATGTTTCAGCATAGCCACAGAAATCGAACTGGAATAATTGCCATGATTTTGTTTAATGTCTTGCACTTCCATTTACTTCAGACACGCCGTTGGTGCCTTAACTAGTTTCTTACGAAACTTCAATAAGGGCGCCTTTTTATCCTCGGATTGCAAAGCAGATGTTGTTATGTACTGGCTGTCCAGTGATGGGATTAATGTGAGATCAGGGCGAAAGTATATGCCGAAGATACTGGGGTGTGACCCTCCTTCCACTCCCACATTTCCACTGATTTCGGCAAAAGTGGGGAGTGAAGCCCCAGTCTCAACATAACTCCAAAGGAGGGTCAGCGAAACCCTTGCTTTGCCTACCTCACACATCTTCATGGTGTTCCAATGCATTTTACCGTGAAGTAGGTAACCAGCGATGAGATAAATCACCGGCTAGTCTGTTTTAGTGGGATTCACATTGGCCAGGGCAACTTTCCGCCTCTTTTCCAAAAACTATCGTGATATCTTTTGCATCCATAGAAACAGTGAGCATCTAGCAGAGACAGCTCGGTTTAACAACACACAGAGAGAACAGCACATCCAATAGGGCAGCAATGCCCTTAGCTGCCAGTTTAGATTAGGTGGCGATAGTCTGGACTGGGGTTTGAATCCATAGACTTTTGACAACCGCAAATTTAAAGCTTATTTAAAACATTTAAGGGGTTCCTCAGCCACACTTCTAACACTTATTATCCAGAACTAATTGAAAAGTTCCTCTAATGCAAATATATCTGCCCTAATTTTTCCAAAGTTTATAAAGTTGAAACATTTGAAATGCTGTGAGAGTGGTTCTCCGTGTTATGGTTCCAGTGATGTGCCTGTATTTGCTGAGGACACTGCTGGCACTTAAAACAACAGGAAAGCACTCAGGCTGAATAATCATTTCTCAAGTCCTTGACCCTGGCAGGAACCGATACTGCTGCTCCTAATCTGAGACCCTGTAATTTACTGGATAAGTGTAGCATTGAATACGAAACTCTTGCCATGCCAAAATATTCTGCCCCAAACTTAATGTGACAAAAAGAAATATCAGAAGCTTCAGAATAGCAGATAAATTGTTGACATTTCATTGCAGTGTTTAAAAATCCCTGTCTTTCTGAAATTGAACAGTTGCTCTCTATATCAGTGTACATTTGGTTTTTGATCTGGCTAGAATTAGAATTGGGTTTATTGACAAATGTAGCCAAGTACAGGGATACAGCGAAAGTGTACAAAGTTGCCATTTCTGGTATCATCATATGTACAAAGATACCTAGGTAAAAAATCTTAGGTATAAATCAGAAAAATAAATAAATAAAGGTAAAAGTTCAGCGTAACAATCTTTCTAATACAGGGAGTCCACACTGGGCTTTCTCAAGGCTAGTCAGACATATCCAGTAGCAGATAAGAGTGAATGAGTCTCTCCTCCCTTCAGGAAAGAATTCACCTCAGAACTATTTCTAAGGCATTGCCCTGTGTGATGAGCAGCTCACCTTTGACTTCTTAAAATGTACCATTGAAATTGTATTGGATTAAGTCAGGGGAATATTGGAGTACTCTATTGCAGCCATAAAATGAATACATTCAAGAAAGACCAGTTTGTTTCATTGTTGGCCCCATACTCACTTCCTCCATCAATGATACACTGTAGCTGCAGTATTTACCCACAGGTTGCAATGCAGCATCTCATCAAGATTACTTTGATAGCTTTCCTTTGTACCTGTAATCCCAAGGCTGAGAAAAGCAGCAGTTTCAAAGGAGTGCTGTCGGTTGCAAGATTCCCTCCAAATCACATATCATCTTAATGTGGACACAGTGGGCTGGAACTTCCCTGACAGTGAAGATGAACTGGAAAAATAGGGATGAGCTTTAGGGAAACTCTCTGACTCATTTCTGCCAAGTGGAACTTTCCCAGGGAAACATTCATTCCACACTGATGGACAGCCAATCAGGATGTGCAGTCCCAACTAGGGACAATTTTGTGGAATTTGACAAAGCCAGTGCAGTGCCTGTGCCCTCACTCCCATCACTAACAAGGACCTCCAGCTTGTTGTGCAAAGTCTTTCTGAGGCTGACTGGGACAAACTGAATGTTTTATGGCCCAGTGTCTGGCTTGCATGAATGAAATGGCGCAATCAGCTCTGTTTAATCCTGAGGTGCATTGCATGCATCAGGAGTCTCCAGTACAATCGTTCTGTATTGGTCAATGAGGTCATCTCCAAGTTGAGGTTTCCCTCCTGATTTCTGACCTCCATCAGTAATACCACTTCTCTTAGACTGGCTGCTATGGCTCCAGAACGCTGTCCTCTACTTGGCTTGGTAGCATTGTGGACTCACCTGTTGACACTAACAGGATGGCAAATATGGAGGCAGCTTGAAGAGGATGCTTGCTGGTTTCCAGCAATTGCAGGCTCAGGACCACATTGGGGCCCCATAGCCAGTGAGGAAATATTCCATGTAAGCTGCACAGTCACATGGCTGTATAATAATACAGACCAAGCTCAAGTTGGTTCCTTCCTGCGCGTTCACATAAAAACATTAAAGAACCTGCAGATGTAGATGAATAGTCCACAAAAACGTCCTCGAGCGAATATTGTTTGATGAACATATATTCTGAATGGGAATGGATTGCAGTTGAGCATTCAGTGATCGGATTGCTCAAAATCAAATAATGTATTGCGTACAAAGAAGCCATTGTGTTAGCTCCTCAGTTAGAGCTCCTGCTCTAATTTAATTTCCCTGTCCTTCCTACAGATCCTTTAATTTTAAATTATTATTCATCCCTTTTTAATTCCCCTCATAATTTTTGTGTCAATCGACCCTTGTTTTAACCCATTCCATGATGTATTAATCCTCTGTGTGAAATATCTATTCTTTAAATTGCCACCCTTCCCATCACCTTCATTCTTCTTATAATAATCCTCAATCTATGTCCACTTTCTTTCTAATTTGCCAACTTTCTGTACTCATCCTGTCTCACATTTTGAAAACTTCAGTTAATTATTTCCTTTTCATGCAGTAAAAAAGGCTACTTCTTTTCAGCCTTTCACATTAATAATAATGTCTTGTTCTTGGTGTCATTCTGGTATTTTTGTTTTGTTATTTTCTTTCCATACATCTGATCTTACTTACATATGGCTTGATGAGAACTCATAGAATCATAGAATCCAAAATGCTTGAAGTACCCAGTTATGGACTAAGCAATGTTATGTATAAAATAAATGTCACTTACCTTCCTTTATAGTCAATGTCCAGGATTAAAATCCAAAAAGCCATTTTCCTTTTATGGCCTTATGTACCCGCATTCTGAATTTAAATGTACCTTACATCTGAATGTCTAAATCACTTTGCTTTGCTGATATAATGAAATTTTGGTACACTTATTTTCATTTTCTTTTAAATTCTCCCGTTTCACATTTCACTGCATCTGTTATCTAAATGTACTTTTTTTGTTCTCCTGTAATCTTTTGTATTTTTTCTCACAGTTGACTGAACCCTCTATTTGGTATCACCAACAATTTTTGATATAATTCCAGCTGAGAAAATGTAATCAGAAACACTAATACAACGACGGTGAAGTCCACAAAGTAATCACACCCGTCTCTGTTTTACATTCAATGTAAAGTAGTAAAATGGCACCATAAGTTTTCTTTTACAAGATGAAAGTAAATTATACATGGTGTTTCATGTGACAGCAGTATGACTTGGTACACACTAGCCCTTTAAAAAAAGACAGAGCAAGTGCAATTCTGTGAAACTAAATGTCAGTAGACAAATTCGTGGATGTTACAAAACATTGTATGTTTTGCATTCCTGCCTCTGTCAACTCCTTGTTTATTGTAATACATTTGTGCCTTCTTACACAGTTTTTGACTATAACAGAGAATGCTGTATTTTGGACTACAGTCACAGTTGCATTTGATGGATGTTGCATACATAGGTATCTTGTTTATCCTCAGTATCAGTTGTGAATGAAATATGAATCAATAAAGGACCACACTTCCATCAATCTTCAAAGATCATGCTTAACAATACATGCATTTTTTTTTGTCATATTTGGTTTTTGTCATTCAGAGAATGAGGGAAGTTAAGGATTTCATTGGCAAAGATTAATGGGATTGAGAAAGTAAAATTAGGAGCTTCTGGGTGCTGGTGTGATCTAAGATAATTATATCTGCAGTAAGTGTTTATGACTCAAAAAGCTTTGGCTCAGATCAAATGAACTGGATGCCAAATAGCAGACACTGTGATGTCTCAGGGAGGGAAAGTTACCTTGATATTTTATACAACGAGGTGATCATACCTTTTAGAATAAGGTCTTCTGATATAGTTCGTGTTGAGGGAAAGGAATGTATGACTGTTACTGAGGGAGATAAAGGTACCCAGAGCGCAGCAGTACAGGATACTCAGCCATTTTCCACTGATTTGTGGATATTTCAGCTTTTTTGGATAAGAGTGACATCTGCAGGGGTGATGAGCAAACTGACCATAGCACCAGGGTACAGCAAAAATCAATAGAGTAGCAGTAAAGGATATAATGAGGAGACAGACACTTTCTTTTTGCAGCCAAGAGCATGAGTGCAGAAGGCTTTGATACCTACATGGTACCAGGTTTTCGAACATCTGCTCAAGGCTGGAATCAAACTTGGATTGACAAGGAGATTTAAGCGAGTTGTCATGGTCTACATGGGTACAAATGACATGCGTAGAACTGAGAAATAGTTTCTGAATAGACAGTATGACAAGGCTAGGCACCAAATTGAAGAACAGAATCTCAAGGGAATAATCTGGATCTGAACCTTATACCAATTAGCAGAGGGCACATAAAATTAGCGAAGATTAGCCATCATTAGAAACTATTGTGGGAGAGTGAATTCTGGTTTATGGGCACCTATATCAGTACTGAGGAAAGTGGGGTCTGTACCACT